CTTCGAACGGCGCGAATTAGTCTTCGCGCTTATGTCTCCGTGGATAAGGGCTTCGCGGATTTGTGGTGGAACCAATTTATGCTCTTTTATGCAGAAACTCATTGGAAGCCATTGAGAATCAATGTATACTTTGGTACGAATCTCAATTCTTGGGCATGTAAGATGGATAAAGACTCAGTCATCTGTCTTCTCACAGAGGAAAGAACACCCTCACGTCCTCTAGCTCTTTTGGACAACTCTTAGAATTTGGCCACTGCCTTTGAGCTATTAGGGGTTGGTGCACACATTTATTAAGGTGGAAGTTGTGGCTAGGAGGGCTTTTGCTCACTTTGTCTTGTGTGACAGCTGCAGTCATAACTAGATCTGGAGATCCAGTTTACAGTCACTCTTGTCCTTGTCCACCCTTTTGGCTACCCTTTTAGGCACTGAGTGCCGAAACTGAAGCGTGCATGCCGGAGTGCCAGAACCCGGAAGAGAGCAGCTGGCCGGTGCGCATGCGCACGGTGACCAGCTGCTCTTCCAGGTTCTGTTGTACGCATGGATGCTGGACAGCTGCTCTATCTTGGGTTCCAGCATGCACATGTGCACCAGACAACTGGTGTTTTCACTGGCCGCCATGCATGTGTGCACCGGAACCCAAGAGAGGTGATGGCCAGTGCACTGTCTGACGTGCATGCATACGACAGAACCCAGAAGAGCACATGGTGACAGCACGAGTGCCCACAGAGAGTGCCATAGGTTTGCCATCATGGCCCTAGTCATTTCCACATTGAACTACAGCAATATGCTCCACATGGGGTGCCCAGCTTCAGTTGGTACAGAATGCAGGGGCGCAGCAGTTCTACGCATTCCCAGAGCAGAACATATTACACCTCGGCTCCACAAGCTGCACTAGTTACCCTGAGCTTATCAGCACGCTCAACATGGGCTCTGTTACTCTCCAAGATCTCATCTATAATTACTGTCGGTCACCTAGCCAAGCACACTGAGTAACAACTATGGCAGAGTTAAAATAAGTCAGAATCATGCCAAGGATCATTCACTTCTTTTAAAATGAGAAACTTACGTTTGATAACACTACTTTCCATACACCTAGAATAGCTAAGGCAAACACAATTAATCCATGCCCTATAAATACACAAGTTGCCCAGTTAGGACTTCAAACTATGGTATTTGATAACAAATCTGGCAACCTTTGCTCAAGGTTGCATAACAAATAACTTTCTGAATGTATGATGGGGTTGCTGCACAAAGGACAGAAAGCTAAATCAAAATTCTGTGAGCCAAATCGATTGAGATTGGAAATGAAATATTGGGGGGGGGGATCAAAGAGGAGACAGGCTGAAGGTAAGGCAGGATAACAGAATCCGATGGTACTGTACTGTATATTCCGCTGTATAAGGCAACTTAAGGTATAAGACGACCCCCTACTTTCAGGCACCTGCAAGCCAGCTGAAGGCTTCCATGCTTTCGTAGTTTGAGCTCAGCGCCTTCCTCCTCCAGAGAGACCTTACTAAGCCATCCCAGCACTCATCCATCAAGATGCCTAGGCGAGAAGCACCGAGGTTATCAATTGAAAGGCCGGCGTCTGCACTGGTGGCGGTGTGGCTTTTTGCTTGGCGGCGTTGCTTTTTCTTTTCTTTTGTTTTTTTGATATACCCAGTGTATAAGACAACCCTCAATTTTTGAAATATTTTTGGGGGTTAAAAAGTTGCCTTTTACACTGGAAAATACAGTATTTAATTCTAGATTGTTGTATGTTTGTATCTCTTTGCTGCCATCCAGTGGTCATACAGATTTCTGCAGCCCAAGTCTGGCAGCCCTAAGATTCAGGATATTCTCCTGAACAATTCCTGTAGTGGTGCACAGAAACAATTTTAAATGAAAAATAACTCTGGTTGTATAAAAGTACGAGAGAAGAGAAATAGAAAAATGTCAAGAATTTTAGTCAATTCTAATGCTTTAATGCAGGGGTGTCAAATTGGCCACCTGCAAGCTAGATGCGTCACGCACAAGCCACCCCACTTCCACGAAGGAGAAAAAAAATCACGCAATGTCATGCGACAGCAACATGATGTGCAAGTTTGACACCCGTGACTTAGTGCCCCTGTATGCCGATGTCATCCCAGCAAAACCGATATAAGATATCCCAAAGCAAATGTGGCACTTCTATTCCATGATTTTCAAATGTCAGCGTTCTCCACCAAGTTAGGTTTTGGCCAAGTTGATTGCCGAGAGATATTTTGCCAGCCCAGTCATTGAATTAGCTGCAAGGAGATTGCTACTGGTCCCTTTACCTCATCCCTGGAGGCAGAGTCAATCTCCGCTGCCAGCGACTGGGCTTTTGTCTGCGTTGCAAAAAGGTTCTTAGCTTCATAAAGGCTGAGGCTAAGGATTTGCCCATTGAGGTCATCGTTCTGGTCATGAAGTTTTTGATTCTCCTGTTGAGAGAGGAAGGAAAGAATTAAGTGATTAAGGCACCTGGTTAGTCCTGCCTTAGCAATAGCAATACATTTACTGCTTACATTTATATACAGCTTCACTGAGCTTTACAGCCCTCTCTAACTGGTTTACAGTCAGCTTCTTCCCCCGAACAATCTGGCTCCTCATTTTACCCACCTTGGAAGGATGGAAGGCTGAGTCAATCTTCAGCCTGGTGAGATTCGATCTGCCAAACTATTGGCAGCCGGTGATCAGCAGAAGTAGCCTGCAGTGCTGCACTCTAACCACTGCGCCACCAGGGTTCTTAGGCACAAAGGCACAAAGCTAGTTGGGTAATCTTGGGCCAGTCCCTCTCTGGATCTATGAAAACTTACCACAGCCAACTTATCATGGCTAACTTGCCATGGGACAATTTGCCATAGCGAACTCACTAATATCAAAGAAATGGTGGAATAGAAATATTAAAGAAAGGATGCAAAAGGAGGGGCAAAATGAAATGTGAATGACAAAAATTAAAATGATTTTTTAAAAAATGATTTTAAATAATTAAATTGAATTGCTGAGTTGCCCTTTCGCCCACTGTCCTGTGGTGAATTTGGCCCTATTGAGTTGGCCGTGACGAATTGGCCATGGCGAGTTGTCCCATCCCACCCTCTCTCTCAACCTTAAAAAGCAAGCAAGCACAACCCACTTCTAAAATCTTGCCAAGAAAATTGCAGGACCTGTCGCCAGGACTGGAAGACTGACTTGAAAGCATTTGCACAGACGCACACATACAAAAGGCAAACAAGGAGCCATTTGCTTAGCACCTTAAGGATACTTCAGATGAACATTTGCTACTGTGCTGCCCCCCTGCCCCTCCTTTTGGACCTAGTAGGCCTCCCTGCAGCCTCCTGGGAGCAAAGATGGGCCGCGGAGGGAGGGGGGGTCGCAACCCCCTGCTCCTCACGCATGCGCGTCAGAGACCCAAAAATCAGCTGGCCAGCGGGAGGCGCATACACATGCGCAGTGGAGCTGAGCTGGGGCAAAGGCTCGCATGCCCGCAGAGAGGGATCTGCCTCCACCTGTGGCACGTGTTCGCCATCACAGGCTTAGCTGCTTTGGAGAGAAGGTCCGTTTTGCTCCCTCCTTCTTCAGCTGTACCTCACCTGTTTTAGACGTTTAATTTCATGTTCCATTTCCACTTCTCTTGTCTTGGCGTTGAATTCACTCAAGCTGGAAGAACTTCTTCCTCGACCGGGACGCTCACAGTCAAGCTTATACAACTGAAGGTGTTCCAGCTCCTTTCTCAGATCCTCAATGAGCTGCAGAAAAAAGCAGAGCACAATGGACCCTTGGGTCAGGCCTGCAGCCAATTCCTTTTGGGATCTTTGGCCTGCCACACTAATATTCTATTCTACTATGCTGTTTCTTTAGTGGGGAATTGGGAGGGGGAATAGTAAGGAGTAGAACGTGATGTTATTTGGAACCCCGACACCTTGTGGCTAGGAAGACATGACACATATATTTATGCAGTGTCCCTGGGCCTACCTTCCATGACAAGCAAAGTCAATGAGGAAGCCAGATTCACTTAACAACTGTGTTACTAACTGAACTGCAGCGATTCACTTAACAACTGTGGCAAGAAAAATCGTAAAATGGGGCAAAACTCACTGAACAACTGTCTCCCTTAGTGATAGAAATTGGGGGCTCAATTGTGGTTGTAAGTTGAGGACTACCTGTACTAGTTATGATGGTACCTGAACCAAAATTGCAATGGTTGTTCCTATGCTGGCAACCTCTTGTTCAGGCTATTGATATGATCTGGAAGATTCAGTAACTTCAAAACAGGGCACAGTTAGCTTGCTTTACAAAGACTAGTTGAGCACCATGGTGCTGGCCACCAGTCTACTTCCGGAATTGTATAATCTATTCCTATTAACCTTTAAACCCTTGACTGACTTATTGAAGTAGATGTTCTGGCTTTAAGTCATTTAGAGGTTTATAGGTTAACATAATCCAGGTTATCTCTCTGGAGCCTGGATTTTCTCCTGAGGCCTTTTTTCAGCTTCCTATGTTCTAACAAGGCAAGATGAATGGCAATCAGTGGTGGAGTTTGCATTGTGCGGTTTGCTTTAAGAATCTTTACTGTATAAAGGTTTTACACCTTTAATGTTTTATGGCTATCTTATTGTTATTGTATGTTCCATTTATTGCCATTGATTTTGCGGCTTCTGATTTTTTATCTTATCTGTTGTGTTGTTCTGTACAAAAGATTTCGTATTTTTATATTGCTTCAGGCAGCTTCTACACAGACGTATTTTGTATTCTTTTTCACCTGCTCTCTTATAGACGCCGATTTTGTGTATGCTTTAAACGATTGTACATTCAGAGGACATCGTCTGCTATTGGGCAGTATTAGAAATATTAACTTTTTTTTCATTACAGGAAAAGACATTACAAGACAAGTAAAATAGTCACATAAATCAAGGATGGTATAATTGGCTAGAGGAAAGGGGGGGAAAGCAGGAAAGCAAAAAAGAAAGGAAGAAAGATCAACAAATTAATAAACAACTACAAAACTGGAAAATGATTAAAAGAGAGAAATACGAAATAGACTCTAGCAAATAAATAATAGGAAATGGATACAAAACGACTCAAATGTAATAAAGGTTGTTATACATAGAATACATAGAATGTTATATATAGAATGAAGAAAAAAGATATATGAAATAATATAAATGCACACACACACATTATATAAAGTTATAATTATAAAAATTTGTACAGATAAAAGAATCACAACAGGTATGTAAAAGAAGTGTAATGTGTTACAAAGATGTGAAGTTTGTATAAACAAAATAAAAAGTTTTTTTTAAAAAGTCAAGGATGGAAAAAACCTCAAGGACAATATTTTAAAAGGTCTTTTTCTAAGCCCAAAAGACATCATAGCTGAGTGCAGAAGTGAGAAGGTTGCCATACAAGGAACAATTTCAATTTCAATCAATTCAAGTTTCAACTTTCCAGATTTATCACCATTTATCATCAATCCTCTGGGAATAATCACTGCAGCATACGTGAAAGGGCTTTGAGGTTTTTAGGAATGCATTTCTGAAAATGATTGCTAGGCAGCTGTTATTCCTAACACCCCTGCTTCAGTGACACAAGGCAAGCCACCATGCAGGTTTTAAATTTTTTTATTTATATTGAAAATATGATTTTATTTAATCTTAGTGTAAAACAGGGGTGTCAAACTCAATTTCATTAAGGGCCACATCGGCGTTTTGTTTGTCCTCGGGAGGCGCGATGAGAGTGGCCAGCTTTGCGTCACTTGTGTCAGGAGTGCCAATGGTGGCCCGAGAGCTCTGCCAGCGAAAATGGACTGTTTCCAGGGTGGCCCTGTGGGTCAGATCTAAGCACCCTGCGGGCCGAATCCAACCCCTGGACCCTGGTTTAAAAACATCAGCATCAAGAGGGGACATAGAAGATGTGCTGGTTGTATGCCACCAAAATTGTTACCAACCTCC